TGTAAACTTGGTCTGTTGTTACTGTTGTTGCTGTTAAAGTGCCATCGAGTTGATTCCGAATCATAACGACCCTGTATAGGGTTTCCAAGGAGCAGCTGGTGAGTTTGAACTGTTGACCTTGTGGTTCACAGTCTAGTGCTAATCCTACAGTGCCACACCAGAAGTCTAAAATTTGTTCATTATGTATTCCTTTTTAATCAGGAAATGTCCTAATTTTGCCACTGTATATAGTCTTGGTATGGTGCTGTAGAGTAAGCACTGGATTGCTAACCACAAGGTCAGTGGTTCAAACATACCAGTCACTCATTAGAAATTCTATATAGGGTTGCTAGGAGCCGGAACTGACTTGACAGCATTTAACAACAACAATTTGAGGGACAGGTTTGCTGGGTATATGATTCTTGGTTGACATTTTTTTTTTTTTCTTTCAGAGTTTTGTATATGCATCCATTGCCTTTTTGCCTGCATGGTTTCTGCTGAAAAATCATAGCTTAGGCTTATTGTTTCACCTTTGTACGTAACTTTTTATTTTTCCTGAGCTGTTCTTAGGATTCTGTACTTGTTTTTGGTTTTGGAAAGATTAATTATATCTTGGTGATTTTCTTTTGGAATCTATCCTGTTTGCGGTTCATTTAGCTTCTTGTATGTTTATCTTCTCATCTTTTATGATGTTAGGAAAGTTTTCTTCTAACAACTCTAACAAATTTACTATGTGCTTTTTATTTTCTCTTCTTGTTCTGGAATTCTAGTCACCTGTAAGTTCTGCCTTTTTATGGTGTCCCACATAACTCTTAGACTTTCTTCAGATATTTTTTTTCATTCTTTTTTCTGATTGTTCTTCTAGCATTGATTTATCTTCAAGCTCACTAATTTGGGTTTGCATTGCTTCAAATCTACTTCATTGCCCTTTCAATGTATTGTCCATTTCTGACATCTTAGTGTTAATATTCTGGATTTCTAATTGTAGGGTTTGTATTGTTTCAAAATTTACATTTATTTTGTCTGTCTGTTCTTATAATGTTTTCCTGAATTCTTCTAAGGTTTTTTTTATGTTCTCCTTGCTTTCCTCAATATTTTTTTCGATCTTCATAAGGTACCTAAATATCATTCTTTTGAAATATTTTTCAGTTATAGTTCCATTACTATTTCTTACTCAGAAACATTTTCTGGCTCTGCATCTTGGTCATTAGTTTGATCTATTCTCTCTTGTTTGTTATGTGAGCTAAAATTGTGGTCTCCAGGACATCGTGGGGTTGTAATATTTGTATTTAGTTGATGATTGTGTGTTGATGTGTTCTTAGGCTCTCAACAGTTGTCTCCTGTGGGTGTCGTTAAGAGAATGGAAGCAAGTACACCATTCTTGTTTGCCATTCAGGCACCTCAGTTTAGGGTGGGTTTGGCTGGTGTTAGCTGCTGCCTATCATTGATAGACATGAGGTATCATTAATAGTATATGAGCTGGTATTGAGTCTTGCCCAATAGGTGGAGCTGAGAGGGTACGGTTGTGGCTGGGCTGTATGGGCACAGTTGCTGTCTCTTGTTGAGTGCGAAATAAGAAGTCCACACACACAAGAAAACAAAACAGAATAAACAAACAATGAGCCTATGATAAAAAGAGGAAATAAAAAAGAGAAAAAGAAATAAGAACAGGAAGCAACCTGAAAAAATATAGTAACTATAAAGACAAAAGAAGGACAGAGAAATGGAGTTATAGAATAGGAGAAAAAAAATAAAAGGAAGAAACTTAAAAGCCACTTAAGAATAAATAAAAAGAAAAGAGGGACAGGAAAATGGAGCTAGAGAAAATAAAAAGAGAATTTAAAACACTTAGACAAATCAGGGAGAAGAAAGCTGAAAAGAGAGAGTAGAGAGTAGTTAAGAAAAATCAAAAGGGAGGAAAAAGTAGAAGAGAAATGAGAAAGAGAAGAAAAGAAAGGAAAACAAAAGCAGAGGTATAAAGGATAAAATTCTAGGGCATGGAAAGAGAAGAAGAAGGAAGAGAAAGAATAAACAACTAATGAAACAATAAAACAAAAAGCCATACAGCTGATGGATCCAGAGAAGAGAAAACTCTAGGGGCTCCTGCAAGCCAAGGAACTAAAGAAATAGGTGTGGGAGGGATGTGACAGTAGAGTTACTGGCCCTAGATGATAGCGTTCCTATTGGCCTTGGTGTTTTCTATGTTCAGGGCACTCAGTCTGAGAGTAGTTTGTGGAGGCCTTTAATGGAGGTGGTTTCAGCGTCTGTTAGGACCATTGGGGGCAGGGTGACTGTCTAAATGCTGGTCCGGTGGCTCTGTGGGTTCTGTAGGTCTAGAGCCCAATCCCACCCTAAATCCAGGAACCAAAGTAGCACACTAAAGCAGTGTAGCTGACCCCCCACTACACACTGCAGTGGCTCCCAACCATGTGACTCCAAATACCCAGAAGACAGGGTCTGTGCTGGGGGTGGATGAGGGTGGGAGTAGCCACACCTCTGGTTACCAGGGGAACATGGGGTAAAGGAAGGAATTGTATACCTTTCTGTCGCCTGTGTGAATCTGCTTTGCTAGGCCTCCTTCTGTGTCTGTTTCATTTGTTCTCTTGTAATCTTTTGTTGTAGAGGGTCCATGCAACACATCTGTCTAGTCTGCCATCTTGCTGGAGGTCCTAGATTCAAATTCTTAACAGAGACCACAAAATCTTCCCCTTTCACTTTATAAAAACAAAAAGTTTTTATGAAAACTTTTCAGGAAAGGAATTTATAAACTCAGGGAATTCATGCTTCTTTGATTCTACGATGTCTAAATAGACATTTTCCATCTTGTTGGTGCATTCAGTACTGGAATGATAAAACTTAATGAGAAATCCTGATTCAAGTATGAGCTAACCTATTCAGTGAAAGCTCCCTCAGTGAGTGCGCAGGCTGGTTTCATAAGGCTGTCATGAATTGGATAGATTATTTTATGGTATTTGATGCAAGAACTTATTTTTCACTTAGTTCAGAATGAATCTTCCTTTCTGGTCACTCCTCTCATGGTTGGAAAAGCTACAGATCAAATTATGTGATTTTTCTCCTGACCTCTGCCAAGACTCACCAGGGTCAGGGATTTTCTTCCATCCTTATATATTTTTTTAATTAAATGTTAGATCAGGGGAAACACCCACCATTTACACACTCTATTTTGTTAACAGAACCACACATGGATAAGTCCTTAGATGGCACAAACGGGTTAATGCTCTTAGCTGGTAACTAAAAAGTTGGGGGCTTGAGGCCAGTCAGGTGCCCCAAGATTGAAAGGCTTGGTGAAAATTTTTTAAATCAGCCACCGAAAACCCTATGGGACACAGTTTTACTTGGACATACATGGGGGTCACAATGACTCAACAGCAGCTGGTTTAAAAAATTTCTTTTAATGTAGATAAAATGAAACAATTGGGTTAGCAGATCCTCATTTACCCTCCTCACCCCTCTTAGCCTTCCTCCTCCTCTTTTCTCCCCAAACACTTTTTCAAAGCCTGGTGGATGGAGACTAGCTCCAGGCTTAGGTTTCTGGGGGAGTAAAACCCATTTCTTTTGTTAATACTGAGAAGTTAACATTTTGCCAAAATTTGAAAATGCTGTTGTTTGTTAATACTAAGGTTATAAGAATTTTCTGATTTTTACTACATTTTAACAATGTGGCTTAGTTTATTTACTATGCTGCTGTTGTTTTTAAGTACCTTCCAGTCAGTTCTGACTCGTAGTGACCCTGTGTAGGGTTTCTGAGGAGCGGCTGGTGAAGTTAAACTGCCAACCTTACAGTTCAAACCAACCTTGCAGTCCAGCATATTAACTCATAGTGCTGTAACAGGAATCCATTATTTACTGTAGTATTGTGGTACATAAGGCCTAGGAGGTAGGACTGCTAGTTCATTGTGATGGCTTCTTTTTACTCTGATGCATATGGTCTTGGGATGCAATAGGGTAAGCATTGGATCACAGGGTGGGTTTGAACTGCAAGGCCAGCAGTTCAAATCCATGAGCCACTTCTTGGAAACCCCGTACCAGGGTCGCTATGAGTCAAAACCAACTCAATGACACTAAACAATAATAAGTTGTTATTGGCTATCCCAGTTTTGTGCTTAGAGCTGAGAGGAGGAACCTTTTTTAAGCCAATGTTTTATTTTTGTTTTTAGGTAAATAGAAGTTGAATAAATATAAATGTACCTGTTTTCATTTCAGATTTCCAGTGATCAAAAGAATTACATGTAAAATTATTTGGTGTTTTGTTTTTCTTGTGGTAATTTAATGAAGGCAAACCCCCACTCTACTGATAAAATATTCTATGTGGACTTTGTCAGAGGGTGTCCTTTCTGATTCTTGAATTTGCTTCCTGGGCTCCTATATACATCAATTCCTCAAGATTTCTTTTAGCTTAATTAAGGCAGCTTTTAGAGAATTTAAACAACTTTATTTTCCTTTTAATGGTACTTGGAGATTTAGTACGTAATTTAATATTCAGAAAATACTCCAATTTTGTTTGAATATATTTTGGAATATTACAGTTACTGGTGTAGTGTTTATTGCTCATGCTTTCAGCTCTGAGGAGCAAACAGTTTCTTGTATAGACAGTTGTACTAAGTATTCATGTTTTTTATAGTTATTGGGTTTTTGTCTGATTTCTTATTTCCATAACAAGAAATTGGAGAATCTGCTTTCATTTTGGGGCACAAAGATTAGTTTTACTGATTGATATCTTTGATATGATAATTCCTTAAAATACCAGGTCATTTTTATCCAAAAGCAAAGTACTATGGTTAACTTTGTATAACCTTCATAGGGAAATGAATGCTTCATTTCACAAGGCTTTGATGTAAAAAATCTTTGTTTTTGGGTTTTTTTGGCAAATGTATTTAAGGGAAATCCTACAAATTCTCAATAAAAATAATTTGCACAGAAGTGCAAAAATGCTTTCCTCTGTCAAATATTTGAAAATTGTTTCAGTGAATATAATCTTATTTTTTTCCGACTATTTCCAGAGTTATTCTTCAGTCCAGTGTTCAGAGCAGTAAAACATCTGAACCTGACATTTCTGGCAGTGCAGGCATTACTAAAAGAACCACCAGATCTGCTTCAAGAAAAAGCAGTTTTAAAAGGTGAGAAAAGAATTCTACTCTTCAGAGAAGTTCCAGGCATTGTTTTTCTCTCTTAATTGTGGACCTTTCTGTCCAGATATAGAAATGAAGATAAGAGGAAGTAGTGTTCCCATGATACGAAATAATCAATTGTGTATTGCTTGTTTCATCATCTAAAAACTTTGGAACTCTAACATAGGTGTTTTATTTTTTTCAGAGGTAATTCTCAAAACTGTTGTTGTTATGTGCTGTGGACTCAGTTCCAACTCAGCCACCCTGTGCAGGGTTTCCGAGGCTGTAAATCTTTACGGGAGCAGAAAGCCTCCTCATCTTTCTCCTGCATAACAGCTGGTAGTTTCGAACTGCTGACCTTGAGGTTAGCAGCCTGATTCGTAACCACTACGCTACCAGAGCGCCTTCTCAAAACTGTGGAAACATGCAAAAGTTGAGAATATATTTTCTGGTTTTTAAATTAAGAATTTCCAGAGATCTCTGTCAGGATCTGGAGGAAATCTTGCCATCTTTATAGCAGATACAGAACAATTGGAGAATTTGCTGTAAATAATATAACAAGGGAAATGATAACCACACTGAATTTGAGGATTCTTCTTTACCTACTGGCTATCCTATTGGCCACAATCCACACACAAGAGTGCCAGCTTTTTTAGCCCAGTGCCCTTCATTTCCTTCAAGAAATTTTTTCTGACAAGGAAGTGGACATGGTGTATGACCCAATCAGTCAGCCAGTGTTGTCTGTATATTTATCAGGAACTGAAGGCAGTCACTTCATTTCTACATATCCCAAACTTAGGTCCTTTTAGAGATAGGGTAGATAATCCACCAGTTGTTATCTCAAGAGTGAAAGGTAACCTTTTGTGTACTTTTGCCTGCTTTTGGCAACTTGTGGAATCCTGTGTCATGGTAAAGGTATCTCTTGTAATCGTGACTGAAAGAGGTCTTCAGATCATTAGAACCAGAACTTTTCAATGTGGTTCTCCATAAATTTTCCTTCTTTCTTTTTAACTTTCCTGCGTACATATCTTGGGGCTTTGGGTGCACAGTGAGTTCTTTTCAGTGTTGGATGCTTTTCTAGTGTGGTCCCATGGGCCTGAGAGGCTCATAGAAACTTAATATTGCTGAGTCTTTTGTGTTTTTTAAGGAATTGGTTGTTTAGTCTTGTCATTTTTCCTCTTTACTTTGCTCTTTTTTTTGTACAGTTTTACTGTGTATTTATACTTACTTGAGAAATATGACAGTGCCCCAGAACCACAAGTAATTTTGAGAATTGGGTACTGACTCATAAGTTTAGGATTTTAAACTTTTCATTAGGAATGTATCATAGAGTCATATTCCTTTAACTCTGAGAGGAGTATTAACATAAACACTGACAAAAGGTCAAAGATTTAAGTGTCATACTAGGCTAAATACATACTGGGCTAAAAATTATGGCATTTTCCTAATGAATCATATTTTTAAAAGAACTTAATGACCTGGTAAATGCTCATGGAGCAATAAGATAAAAAAGAATCACACAAGAAAACATTATATATCTATATAGAATCCTGGTATGATGCTGTAGGATAAGCACTGGACCGCAAGCTCACTGTGAACCACAAGGGCGATGGTTCATACCCACCAGGTGGTTCTCGGAAACCCTGTATAGGGTCACTATGAGTTGGAACCAACCCAACAAAACTTAACAACAACAGTGTATAGAAATAAGATAGTGGGAAAATAAACAAGAACATTAACAGTACTTATCTCTAGAAGGTAAACAGTGTGGATTTTGGTTTTCTTTAAATCATTTTCTTATTGCCCAACCTACAACAAATAGTGGAGAACAAGAGTATTTTCATTGGGAAACTTTTAGGTGAGCTAAACTATTAAAAATTAAAATAAAGGTTGCTGTTGATGATGGTTAATTTAGACATGCTTTGAATGGACATATTCTGTTTAAGTATAATTAGCCGGGCTTCCAGGATAGTCTAGTGTGTCTTGCCTATTTAATTCTGCTTTTTGGTTTTTTGGATTGTACTTTCTAGGTTACAGAGGAATAGAGTCCAGGAGCCAGGATCAAGAATGCCGAGTCACACTACATTCCTTTGAAAATTAGCCATGCATCAGTCTTGTTGCTTTTCATGTCACTGTAGTGATGTATATTTGTGCTTTTCAGCAGAAGTGATTCCTGTTTGCGTGAGCATCTACCTGTGCTCTTTTGGAAGTGTATGCTTTCAGGGGCCTGAAGTAGACTTCAGACTCACTGAATACTCCTGGTGAATGTTGAAATGGCCCAAAGCAGTTTCCAGGAATTTGGGGTAGTGCTAAAAATCAAAAAGACTTCTTTTAAATTCTAAAATGAGCGTTCAGACGAGATTTGGAGAGGCCGAGAAATTAAGCAGTGAGAGGAGTTGAGTTTCATGATGCATAGAGCCAAGCCTCTCCTTATAGGATTCCTTTTTCCTCCTTTGGGGATCCGGCTTGTGTTCAAATCACCATAACTGTGATTCACCTACAGCTGACAAAACAAGAGAATGTTAGCTATGTTGCCTTCCACTACCTGCTTTCAGGAAATAATGATTGGAAAAGGAGATAACCCAACAGTGACCTGAAACTTTGATCCTACTGAATGTCACTTTTTGGTTGGAGGATAATGAGGGAATCTTGTAAGTGCTAAAGTTGTTTAAAGTAATTCTAAAGTCTTGAATTGAAATCTTCTTTAAACAGTAATGTAACAGTAAAAAATAGTCTGTTTTTTCTATGTATGTCCATAAATACTTTCAAGGGCCCAGGATTTCAGGTCTATTCTGTGGTGTATCCTGTGTGGGGCCGTCTCCTCTGCATGTTAATGTTGTTGGCACATCATCGTCTCCACCCATACTCTTTACTTAGGAAACACCCTTCTCAAGCGGACTTCATTCTATTCTATTCTCAAAACTTCCAGGATAAATTCACATTGCACTGAACTAGCTAGCTTGTGATTTTGACACTTTACAGAGAGACTACAACTTTGAATAATATCTTTACCAACACGTTAAAAGAAAAATTACTTACTTGTGGGGCAAAGAAATCCATGAGTGTTCATCTTAAGTGTCTGTGGTTGTGAAGGTATGTGAAGCAGTTCTGATGGCAAATGATTAACGCCTTCATGTAGCCGTCTGATGACAACTGAGTCGTGTGTGGCAGCTATAGCACTATATATCTGACTGATAGGGTCTGTGGCTGCCGTCTCCATTCTGTTTCTCAAGTCAGAGGAGGTAAATTAATGGGCTTTTTACACTTTCTCATTTCCTGTTAGAGATATTAATCCACCTTAACATTTCTTTTTTAAGGGCCAAGACATCTAGTGAATAATTGAGTAAATAGAATTCTCTTGTTTTTCAGTGTTCTCACATTAACTTTCTGAAGGCTCCCTCAAAACTAATCTTAAAAAATTCATAATTCTTCCTGTTGAGAACCCACATTCATCTCATGTGATAATATGCAATTCCATGTGTGTTTATATAGCTAACACTTCTGTTTAGTACTCCAGGAGCCCTGGTGGCACAGTGATTAAGTGCTTGGCAGTTTGAACCCACCGGCCACTCCGTGATAGAAAGGTGTAATTCATAAAGATTCCAGCCTTAATAGGGTCACTATTAATTGAGTCAACATCGACTCAATGGCACTGAGTTTGGGGTTTTACTTTAGCACACGTTCCTTTTCTTTGGAGCATTCTTTCTTTAAAAGTTATGACTCCATTAATTTTCTAAGAAAACGGCCATGTGCAAATAACTGTTAATTTCAAGTTGCAGAATTTTCTAAGAAAACGGCCATGTGCAAATAACTGTTAGTTTCAAGTTGCAGTTTTTTGAGTCATCACAGTCTCCTGCACCTGTCACACCAATCTACTGCTTTGGAGTGTTTTGTGCTTGATTCTTCCTGTAGAAGGAGAAGATAAATGCTCAGGCTTTCTTTCTCCTTGACCTCTAATCCTTGAGTCTCTCCTCATGAATATTTAACTTGTGGTTAGCTCCTGTCTCTAGGGTTTCTGTGACTTTTTATGTCTTCTCATTTTTGCCTTTGCTCACCTTCGTACCTGTCACTACTTCTTGCACCTTAGATTTCGCTGTCTGCTCCATTACCTCTGGGCTTTAGTTTTTGTTATTGCTGTTTTCAAACATACCAGTGTAGGAGCCCCATAGTGTTTTCTCTAAATATCCTTTTAAAAATGTGGCTCTTGATCTTTTGAGATACTAATCTGTTTTGAAATTCCAGATATTTGGTTCCATCAATACTCAGTACTTTATTGGTGCATCGGGAATTCAAATAGGCCTGCATGAAAGAACATCGTAATCATCTGAGGATCACCTCCAGATTGGAATTGGGTTTTAGTGACCCTTCTATTACTTTAGTTTTTCACTGAAAATTGCAATTTAGTTGGAAGGTAAACTAGTCAAGGTAGGGGAAGAGAAGAGGTGTGAAAATCAAGGTCATTTATTTCGGAAGAGAGAAGGGCCCTTTGGGCATCGGCCTGATGTGTCCTGCCTGCATCCTAAGGTTAGGAGCTGTCAGAGGGTCTCCTTGCGCAGGTGGTGTGGTGCATGTTAAGGAGAGAGAAGCAAACAAAGGGGGCCTTCTGCACTCAGCTAAACTGGAAACTGCTTGAGGTGCCAGAACTTTTTCTGTGACCAAATTCTGGCTTTTGAAATAATCAAATAACACTTCTTTATCTTCTCATTCTTTTCACTTTTCCCACAGCCTGGTTCCTCACAGGGAAAGAAGGAAAAGGAATGCTTTGCAACAGATGCCCTTAGTGGCATTATGGTACTTTCAGTGCTCTGCTGCTCAGGCCCTCCCTTCCTTTTTTCTTTTTTTTTTTTTTTGTTGAAATTTTATGTTGGTTTATCTTTTTGTTGGTTTATTTTTTTGCAGAATTGAACCTTTTTCTGCTCTTCCCTCCTCTCCTTTTTGTCTTTCTTTATGGTTGATAATTGTACTGTCTTTTCCAAAGTATTTGCCGTTAACAGTTATGTACAGTGTTATGATTACTTTTTAGACTGTAGTGTTATACTGCCTTCATTGTCTTTGATGACTACATATGGGACTTTTAAAACCTTTGTGGTAAAAATCCTTTTTTTCCCCCCTCTGTAGTCCCTCCATTTCAAGGACTAAAACAGTCTTGCGTTAAGTAAAAACCTGTGGCCAGAACTGAAGGAAGACTTAAGGACAGAAAACTACAGCAGGACTTAGCACAATTTATTTGAAAACAAAACAAAATTGCAAAAAGCCTTAGATGCTTTCCACCTAAGAAGTTCATTACATGAAGAAAAATGTCCACTGGAGTTTAAACATCTAAATGAGATTGGGTGCCAGCGAACGACTTGAAGAGGGACCCAACTCTCCTTTTCTAGAAATGTCTCAAGTTTCATAACAAAAACGGCTGTTGCCACTTTAGTCTCAGGTGTTATGTGTCAGAGCCCTCTGCTACTGCGGGAGATGCCTCATCTGTGTGGTGCACATGTGTCCCTAGTGATGGCAATCATTCTGGCTGCTGGCCTTCAGAAGAACTAACTGATGGAGGTTTTCCACATATTTATTTGCTGTTCATCCTGTGTCCCTGTGGCAAAATTTATACAGATTAAAAAAATTAGGCATAATTGAAATGGTACTTTCTGTAATTTGATACTGTTCTGTTCAATCATCTTCACTTTAATATTTGTAATACTGTTGTAATGTTAACCATGTTAAGTACCCACCTACTTGTCTTCCACCAAAGAGTGCTTTATTAAGAAAAATCTGTGAAAACCACCTTTAAACACTGTTGCATGTTGTGATACAAAGTGGTACTTTGATAATGAAATTTTCTAGAGAATGTTGTTATAGCTCTAGAAGACTCAGGAGGAGGAACTGGCTTCAGAAGAATTAGCAGTTGCTGTATCAATTTATTTCTTTTTTTGTATTATTTGATGACTGAAGGCCTAGATTGCCCACTATTGGTTTCCCAATCATGTAAAACAAAATCATCTTTCCTTCCATGCATGAAAACATACACACTGTTGCTGTTTCACCTAGGAAACAAAGACCCTCACTTATGGTGGCTTGCTTTCCAAGCTGTATTGCTTTAGGAGGGTCTTTCTGTATAGATTTGTGGATTGTTGTTTTTGTGTGTGATCAGCCTAAGGCTATCACACACCCTTTGAGCTCTGTGACAGCTGTCTGCATCTGGGTGTCAGAGGTTTGTAATGTGAGAATTCACTGTCCCCTTTGGTTAGAGGCTACAACCAGTAACTCTGCAGAGTGCCTTCTCTCCTTAACGCGACTAAAGTAAGCCAAGTCTGTCATACAAAGGACTCACAAAAACAGGATTTATTTGCAACCAACAAAAACTGGGGGCCAAAAACCAAAAGATTATTCTTCAACCATCTTGGGTACTTCCATAATAAGACTTGAATGCTTTTTGTTATCATTAGCTGGTTCTTGCCTGTTCCAAGTTTCGAGAATGAAGAGATGCCATGTTGAAAGACAGTGGATGGCAAATTCATTTACAATACAGGTTTTTAAACAAAACTATTAAGAGTTGTTGGAATTAACAGGCTAATAATTCATTGATACACAGAGGCTCCATTTAGGGTGTGTTCTGTTGGAGTAGACAAAAATGTGAAGCTGGTTGGCATTGAGGAGAGACAGAGATGCCATTGTCTTAGCCAAGCAAGCAGTTCCTGCCCCATCAGGCACTGTGGGGGTGGGGTCAGGCCAGCTTTTAAGGACCTGGGGACTAGATCACAGACAGACAGTGGTTTTCTCTACCTAGAAATGAATAGGCACAAAGACCCACTTGCTTATAAGCAGACAGTTCCTCAGTTAGATTTGAGTGGGAGGAGGAACATTCCATTTACTGTTTTGTGGTAGAAGATAGTACTAAATATTCAAGTTGTGTGTATATCTAAAGCATTATATTCTCAGGGTACCTTTTCTTTCCCACGTACTTCTTAAGACCATCTCTTCCACAAATAACCCAGTTATTGTGACAATCAAACTAACGTTTGAACCTTCCTTTGTTTGGCTGTTTATTACTTTGAACAAATCAATGCTCTGCCAGACTTGGTTCATGGTAAACAGCCATCTCCCTCACAGTGAATAAAGCCACTTGATGTCTTGGCCAAGAGTGAACATTTTGGGCTTTGGTGTAAACTATAGTATTTTATTCAATAAATTCCCTTTATTGAGCTGTCTTTTTAAGTTTCCAGCTACAATTGCTATCACTATGGCTCTTTCAATCTTTGTATTCGATAGAATCACTGAAATTAGTTAAAGTATTTCTTTGTACAAATGACTTGGGGTGGCGTTTCAGATGGTTGCATAGTGTGAAGCTTGTTGGGAATATATCTAGAATCCATGAAGTCTTTGGGTCTTACTGATGGAAAGTTCTTCCTGCTATGAGTAAGGGTAGATTCTTACCTCTCCTTTTCCAACTGAACCTCCAACTTAGCGAGGTTCTGTTGAGAGTCTAACTTTAAGACCTTGTAGAGGACCTTGTTACTATGAAGGCTGCAAATCAGGAGAGATTTCTTTAAGAGCCTGAAATAGCTTGGCAGACACAGCAAAGCCATTTTCAGTGGAATTAAAATTAGAAATGAGTATTTTTAGGTGCTCCTGAAGCTTTCTGGGGTCTCAACTTTTCCAGAGTCAGAGATGGTGCCAAGGAAGGGTATCTGCAAATCTGTGTGCACCCAAAAAAAGCACAGGCCACTTTTTTTTGTGATGCTAGGGGATGTGAGAAATCTCTGACCCAGCACTGAGGAGGCTCTGCTCCTGAAAACAAGTAGCTTTACATGTCAGATGTAGCCTCTTTCAAGCCGTTTGCTTCTTCTGTAGGTTCCAGGAATGTTCTGTTCTAAAACGTGGCCCCTTAGCCTATTACCCACCCATTCCCTTGCTTCCCTGCCCTGCTCCTCTTTTCACTGCGGTGCCCAGGCAAGTTTGAGGAGTTCCCACCATGCCATGAGGCAAATGTGTTTGCACTTGGAACAGGATGCAGTGCAGCATCACCGTGGATCCCAGGGCCTTGGGGGCAGTGGGTGCCAAGAGCCCTGAGAGCATTTTCTATGCTTGAACCTCTGGTTATAACAAGTGAACAATTCAGCCATTTGAGGTTTATTCTAAAAGTAGCTCAACCACTTCTTTTCATATATTATCTTTTTTAAAAAATGATTACATTTTGGAAAGCAGAGCTCATCAAAAACCACTTCAAGGTCATATTGTATTTCTTTAGTAGTTAGTTCCCATGGAAACTGTCCTGGCGAGGCTAGCTGTTGCTCTTGCGTCTCTCCTAATTCTTGGTGTTCGTCGTGTTGCTAAGAGGAAGTACTACACAGAGTGTTGAAAAGAGTGGACAGTTCCCCTGTATTGTGTGGGAAATCCCATCCTTACTTCTATTACCCAGTAGACTCAACTGTCAGCATTCATGTCTACCTGCTTATTGGACTGCAGTTTTATATGAATAATTTACAAACTTTTACCTAACCTGCACTCATGTACAGATTATTAAAAGTTTTAAAATGTAACTGATTAATCAGTATTTGAACAATCATTGTCTTGATTTTTTTATTAAAATGTATATTTCTAATCATATTTTTTAAAGCTGAGAGAACTGGTCAAATGAATGTTTATTTTCTTGAAGGTATTTTTAAGATGAAGCTTCATAATGGCCTGTAAACTTTACATATCTATGTAGTTTGATACATATTGTCACATTTGAAAATCTTGTGTATTGTACCTTGTTTTATACAAAATAGAGAATAGTGGAAATTGTATAATTGCAATCATGTAATTAAAAGTCTTAACCAGCCTTTTGGTTTATTTACTGAGTCATGTATTTGGATTCTGAGTCATGGCAGGTTGTGGTTAAAATATAATGGCAAGTGCCCCTTCTCTAGGCTGTGACGACATTACCGCATATACACTGCCAGCAGCAGCTCAAAAGATTCAAAAGGGTTAACCTTCTTGAGACCATAAAGGATACTGTGAGGTTTAAAATCAGGAAAGGTCATGTTCCAGGGCTGTGTCCTGTCATTGTGCTTATTCATTCTGTGTGCTGAGCAAATGATCTAAGAAGCTGGACTCTATGAAGAAGGAACGAACACATCATCAGGATTGAGGATGGCTCATGAGCAACTTTGATATGTAGATGGCACAACCTTGCTTGCTGGAAGCAGAAAGGACTTAAGTACTTACTGATGAAGATAAAGGCTTTAGTATAGATTGCACCTCAACATTATAAAACAAAAATCCTCAAAACGGAACAAAAAGACAACATCATGACAACCAGAGTAAAGATCAAAGTTGTAAAGGATTTCATTTTACTTGGACCCCAAGTCAATGCCCATAGAAATGGCAGTCAAGAAATGAAACTACTGCATTGGACAAATCTTTTGCAAACGACCTCTTCAAAGTGTTAAAGAGCAAAGATGTCATTTTGACAATGAAGATACGCCTGTCCCGAGGCATGATCTTTTCAGTTGCTTCCTATGTATGTAAGGAGTGTGGCACCATAGGATGAGGCACTCAACCTCAAGGTCGGCAGTTCAAACTCACCAGCCACTCATAGGAAACCCTATACTGGGTTGCTGTGAGTCAGAACCGACTTGATGGCACTTAAGTATGTGCAGGCTGGGCAATGAATAAAGAATACTGAAGAATTGATGCCTTTGAATTGTGGTATTGACAAGGAATATTGGATATACCGTGGACTGTCAGAAGAACAGACAAAAGCATTCTGACTGTATGTCATGAAAGCCTTACAACCAGAATGCTCCTTACAAGTGAGGACTTCATCTGACATATTTTAGACATCATCTCTGGCAAAGGATATCAGGCTCAGTGAAGAAAAGGGCCAGTGAAAAATAGAGAGATACTCAACAAGATGGATTGACCCAGTGATAACAACAGTGGGCTCAAACATAGCAATTGTGAGAGTGGCGCTGTACCAGGCAATGTGTTGTTAATATGTACCTAGGTTCTCTATGAGTTGGAACCGACTCAATGGCACTTAACAGCACAGAGGATAAAATACAAGATTTTATCCCTTGTGTCTTGTAGATCTTAGAATCTTGCCACTTTAGTTTACCTGCCCAAGTCAGGGTGGAAGTACTTTTGTGGAGGAGGCAGGAGCAGTCCTAGTGCACTCTG